GGAACTACAGAAACACAATTAAGGTTGGCCAGATGATCATTTACTATGCCATGCGCTTACTCTTCCCTTTTCCTTACTGCTCCCCCCTTGTTTTTTTAAAATTAGTGTCTCTCTTTGACTCATTTTTAATTGCTAACCAACCTTCAGAAATCAGTAATATTTAAACAGCTGACCAATTTTGGAAACAGCATTGTACACACATAGTTTTCCCTGAAGACTGAAAACCAACTAAAGAATTTAAACATGTTTGCATGTAACCCACCATCAATACGTTAAGTTTAGCTTTTACCTTGTGAGTACCCTCCAACAGCTAGGACTAGAGGCTTGCTTGTGCTAAAATTTCAGTTATGCAATAGAATTTTAAAAACTGTTTTAAAAACATGTTACATAAACATTTTCCTTTATCTGGTTTATTTATAAAACTATTTATAAAACAAATCCCATTAAAACTGATTTCAGTTATATAAGCCAATCTGTGTGCATACTTACCTGCTGAAGTTAAACAAATGAAAAAATTCACATTAGACTGTCAAATTTTAGAGGTTAGCACAAATACAATTAGACCAATTTAAACCTGATATAAGGGATTAGAATTTCCAGCTAATCCAATCCTATTCCTTATTACATTTATTTGTGTTTCCCCTTTATAATTTTTGATTCAGGATCTGTTCAGTTGCCAAACTATCTTTTTGTGATTTCTACACACTTAGGAAACAAAATAGGAGTCTCTGTTTCTGTAGAGCCTAACCTAGTGCTAGGAGGTTTAGAGTAAGCCTTTCCTGTACAAGTGCTCTTAGTTTTATTTAACTGCTGCAATCACATTATTACCCAGTAGTAAGGCTGTGTCTACATTTCTTTTGTAAACCAGAAGTAATTTTTGGGCTGTTTAGGCATTTTTCTATGCTCTACCAAGTTCTCCACGCACTGAAATCATCCCCCCAGGAAAGTGACCTTCTCAGTAAGAAACTTGATCTTACAGGTATCAAATGACCTGAAAAGATCTTTCAGCAGTTTGGTCAGGCTAACATTAATAACCCAGCCCACAGGAGGATATTATGTACCAAAGCCCGTGTGAATTTGATGAATGTGGACTGCAAAGAAACTGACATACCCCCAACATCGTTCACCAAACGGTAAATGAATGAATTCCAACTGACTACGTCCACAGAACCAGGAGCTGTCAGGTGGGAAGGCTCTTCAACTTCCTCAAGAAGTTGCAATCCTGTATTTAGCACAACAAAAATGCTGTCAGCATCTTCTCACCCTAGAACTGAAACTACTCAAAGATGTAAGAAATTTGTTCTATTATGCTCTTTTATCATATCCAAGTAGGCTACCACAACAGCTACAAGTACAGTACCATTAAAACATCTTAAGGAATTTATATTCCAATACATATATATAGTATATTGAACTGGAAAACAATTACACACAGCGCTTTGAAACAGTCTGAAGAACTTGAATTTGACACATAGTTTACAGCTCTGGAAAAAGGAATTTTGTTTTACTGTAATCAGCACTTTTATTTGAAATATAAGTCACACCTTCTAAATATACACTCATAATCATAAGTCACCTCAAAACCCTATGTATTTAGGAGTTACAATGCCCTATCATTAGTTGTTCTAAGCTGATAAAAGACTAACAGAATGTCGAGTCAGCAGTTTAACCCATACGAGCTATATGTTTTGTAGTTAAGGCTGCTAATGAGCAACGTCCTGTACAAAAACCTCCTGCATAAAGCTGCCCATAGAACATAGCCTCGTTTTTAGAAACTGGTGTGTTGTACAAATAACTATAGACCTATACTAAAAAAAAAAAACTATCTGATGCTCAAACACTGAGCTTTGAAGAAAGACAAATCTTCAAGATCCATCAAAGTCTTACATATCTGACTTTTACTGTCTCAGCATGGATCAGGAGAACACTCTTTTTTGATGTGAATTTCTTTAAAACATTAATTGCCCTACATTGCACCTACCAAGCAATGCAGGCTTGGTAGTCTTCAAAAAAAAATATATGGAAGTGTCACAACCTATAGCATATTTTTAGCAGGAATAAACAGACTATTTTCTCTAACGGGAAGTTACTGCAGGGAAGAAAAAGACAGTTTTTGCTCTATCCCCACCTTATGGCTAGAAAAAGAATTTTCTTATTACAGCATACATATTTCTGATTTTTTTTCCTTTACTGTACCACTATAGCCAGAGCATATTTACTATTTGTATTATGCAACTTAGGATTCTTTTTTAGAAAAGGTGCACTCCCCCACATGCAAGCACAATGAAACTCCAAGGCACAAATGTCCTCTCTAGCACCTGTGTTGATTTCCTGAATCAAAACAGCAGACTTAATGATGCAACATAACCTTAGATTCAAATAGAACAGCTATTATTTGGGCCCCGACCCACAAAAGTATACAAGTTCACATATTCCTGTTGACTCCATTAGGAGTCACTAACCTTCACTGATATACCATTAATATTCACACTTTTTTTTTTAAATAGTTTTAAACCTAATAATCAGGTGATTTATACCACCCAGATAACATTAAACTTACATGCCCTACAAATTAAAACAAAAGTATGCATGAATCTGGTTTTAAAGCTTTCACCGTTATTTTCTCTCTTTGCCTATCTTGCAAGCAAAACGATGTGACCATGGGAGCTAAAAGAGTGCATACTCCTCAGGAGAGTCAAACTCAGGTTGGCAAGCAGCAGATCCTCCTTCATCAGTCACTCTATACACGAGATGAAACAAAAACAGCAGCAGCACCACCCCACAAGGGAAAACACTCTCTTCCCTCATAGTCACCTGCTTATCAATAAATATTTCTCCTCTTCTTTTGTGCCTTAATCACTTGTGATGCCACTCACTGGCACAGGGACTAACATTAGCTACATGAAAAGCTGAAAACCAAGACTAGGGCCACCAGAAGTACTTTTGCCAAATTCTTCTATTTCTTCATTTTGACTTTTCTCTCTTTCATTGCTGGTCACAGTGAAAGGGCAGGGTAGGACGTGAAACAGAACAACACTGAGAAAGCTGCAAAAAGAAAGAGAATGGAAAAAAAATGGATAATGTCTTAGTGTGCTTTTAACTTTTTAGGCTGCCTATCCTGCTTTCCTGAGGAAATGAAAAGTTGTAGTTGTGACTCCGAATTCTCAGGGCTTATAGAAAAAAGTCCCTCTCCTACAAAAAAAAGGCACCATCTTAGCCATGAATACTGGCCATAAACACTGTATACAATATTTAAAAAGTACACTAGTGTCTGGCTTTAACCCTTCCTTGCCTCCCTTGCCCAATGGTAGCTGATCATCCACTGCATGGGAATGAGAACATTCCACTAAGCTCAGAGTGGATCTTGCTCCTAGGCAAATCAAAAAAGAAAAAGTTAAAGCGGACAGCAAAACAACTGCCAAAAGAAGCTACAGCACTCAAACAACTGCACAATGAGGAAAGGTATGTGGTTATACAAGACAAAGAAAAATTAAGAGAAACCATTTTTAACAAAGGAAAATCTACTGTTGCAATAAAATTCTTAAGTCACGGACAGTAATTACAAAGAAAAATATAAATTCCTCGTCAGATCTCCCTTATTCCTGATAACGCACTTCAGATTATTAAGTCCAAATATCCTCTACAGATGTATGTTCTCGGCTTTCTTTGTGGATTCCAATGGAGTAAGAGTAGAAAATGCAGAATCAGGAATCTAGTCAACCCTACAAGAAGCAGACTGAACTAAGCCCTACGAGTTAAGTAAAGCAGAAGACTCATCCTTTCTTTCTGCATACTGAAAAAGGATGACTTTTCACAGGTTGTATAGGATTTTTAAAAGTACATGGACATGAAATGAAATGTGAAGTTCTAGCATTGCTCCAGTTTCCTTAGATAACAAAAATATTTACAAAATGCAATTCTTTTTTGCTGGTTTCTAGAATATACTCAACAACATGTTAAACAAAATTAGACTACTCAATCAACAATGTTTTTTAAAAGTCTTTATTTTAAGAATAGCTCAATGTGCATGTGAAGGATCAGCTACCACCTATTCCACAAAACCGTATTATCAGCTCAAACTGTGAGATTCAACTATATTAAAAGATTTATTAAGCAAAGTGTTTGGCAACTGTTTAAGAATATCAGATTAGGAATAGAATATGATCTTAAATTAAAATTTTATATAGTGTACATTTCTAGACTTCTGACAAGTTAGGATGACACTCAAAACGGGGCGGGGGGGGGCGGGAAGTAGCTTGGCACTCATGCCAACTTATCTTCACCATTTGTACAGGATCTAACTTCAAAAATATAAGCTGTGCCAGATCTTTTCTTTTCCGTAATGTGCATCTGTCCACACCAACTGAATTACAGACCACCAACTTGTCTCATATACCACATCAAACAATAGGCCAGCTTAACAGTTCAGAGCATGATTTAGAAATACAAAATATGAATTCTTTCCCCAGAACAGAGTTTTAGCCTACTTTTCAAAGTCATTTAAAAAAATATTACATTTATAAATAAATTGAAGCCAAGATATTTAATACACTATTTTCTACAGCGATTGTTTTGAAAGCCAAGATTTTGTTTAGCTAGTAAATCTGCTTTGAACTGCATAATCTAGAATGGATTTAGTGAAACCTGCATTTTTATTACTGTTCTGCTTTAAAAGTTTCACACTTCTAATAATAAATGACACAGCATACTTGAAGAGTGACTATAGTATAGGCATTCCTCCATTATTATGGAAGAAATGAGGTACATCAGAAGTCTTAAGTGACAAGTGACACACATTTTTAAATTATGCATGAAGTATATGAAAATACACATTGTAAGATTCTTAATTTTTTTTCTGAAGACACAGCAAGATACTCAGAGTCAGGAGATAGATATCAATAAAACTAAATACTTCCAGAAGTGCAGAAGCTGGCTCACAGGATCTCCCGTTAGTAAGAAAACACAGAAAAACATGCTTTGAAATTCCAGTGGTCTGTTTTCTAGCCTCTGCTTTTCTTTAAAATAACCTGCAAAAAGAAAAAAGTATATTTGTCACAGCTTTTATCACTACAATCCAGGCACCAGTAAAAGATCCAAAACGCTAGGCTACTCAGACTAAAGGTTCACCTAGCCAAACAGTCTGTCTCCACAAGGAGAGTCACCAAGGGTAAAAGTCTAGGGAAAAGGTTAGAAATAAAACAAAAGCATACAGAAAAATGCCATTTAAAAAAAACCCTTTCTGATATAAGAACATTCATAATGAAGAATTCTGTAAAACAAAAAGCTTATTTTAAAAATGCTGAGAAATGGCAATAGTGCTCTCAAGCCCTCAGCAGATTCCTTGAAGCCCTTACCCCATTAGGCCTAGACAAAAAGAAAAAAAACAAGATTTGCAATTATACAGCTACTATGCTCAATTTTTGTTTGTAACGCCTTATTTCTTTCTATATCAAGAGTGCCCAGACCCTTGGAAGGACATTTTTTGGTTTGGAGTTTAAGTTGAAAAATGAACTTCAAAGTCCAAGTGGGACCATTTAAGTGTTAACATTATTAAAAGACAGGCAGTTTTTCCTTTCTTCTCATCTTAAAAAAAATAAATGGAGCACAAAAATGTTCAAATAACGTTAAGATTGCAGTTAAAAAGAAATTACAAATGCGTAAGATTCCAACTGTAACATTCACTTGGCTACCCTACACATCCTGTATATATTCCTGTTACTATAGTAATACAAAGTACCAAACTAAACATTTCACCAGAGGAAAAAGAAATACTGAAGATAAACAGAAGCCACAGGACCCAAATATCAGATAACACTGAGTTTTGTTCTTCCAATTTGCCCAGCAGTAGTAGGTGGTTGAACAGATAACAAATTAAAGAGACGGAGTTCCTTCATGAAACCTAAGTAAAGTAGACATATCCTAGCGAGTGAAATGAACTACAGAATACAAAAAGTTCTCAGTCATATTTTGACAGTACTCTAGTTCTTTCTAGAGAGAGAAAGCTGCATAACAACTTCCTCTT